TAAAATCACCTTTAGATGGCTATTTTTATTAATAAAGTAATGTGCATAATATAAAACTATCTACTTAATAATTTATAAATGCAAATTAACTTTTCACTTAAAAAAAAAAGAGTCATGTTATTTTTCTTTCAAAAATTACTAAAAGTATCCTTCGAGCCGGATTTGAACCAGCGACCTATGGATGTCCATTTTAATTACTCTACAGTCCACCGCTCTACCAACTGAGCTATCGAAGGTTGTTAGACAGACTTGAAAATGTGATTCTTATATTAATGTTCATATTTATTGTAAGTGTATGTATTACATATCATAATTATTATGTACTCCGCTCCACAATTCCCCTACTGATCATAAGCCTCTCCCAAGGAATGCCACAAAACAAGGTACTTAATTCCAATTTATATTATTTAAAAATTAATTTTAACTACTATATTTCATGATATTACACTCTTCATAACAAATCTTATGATATATAAAAGTACATACCTAGCCTTATACAAAAATTAATAAACACTGAAAACTATTTAACGTAACAAACAAACATTTATAACATTATTAGGAAGAACAATTAAATATTATATGCTACTTTACACGTTTAACAGTGGTAGAGCCACGCGGCATCTTTTGCTGTCGCACGGATGGGCCGGCTCGAACCGGGGTGGTACCACGACCTCACAGAATACCAGCGTGAAGTAGAGGTTTACCTCTGCGTTTCGCTTGGTGAGTGCAGGTGGCCGGAGGCCCTTTTTACTGGAAATGAGGCATTCCATCTTAGTCCTCACGGGTGACAACGCATCTGCATTTTGATTCGCAAACGAGGATGGATGTGGATGTCTATGGGCCGCAGCAACCACTTACCATCAGGTGGACTGTGTGCTCGTTTGTCACCCTTATCCTATAAAAAAAAAACGTACTTCATAGTAGTAAGTAGCTTTACATTATGTCTTGCAGTGGGCGATAAGGAATTGAAGATAGTAAGAAGTAGTTTTGCACCTTTAAAGGGCCACAATCTCATTTTGCCCCGGGGCCCTTAGTAACATAGCTACTCCACTGACTACGATTCCATTCTGATGGTACTGCAATATCTTTTGTGTTACAGTCTAGGTCACGACATGTACATTATGTTAATACCACACTTCACGAAAGGAAGCTTGCTATAATTTATTTTGAAAAATTTTCAACAATTCAAATGTTTCATGAGTTATCTACTTACTATACATAGCATACATAACAGAGCCTGCCGAAATGTAGTCTAGGTAGAAAAAACACTCCGGCAGAAAAAGACTTCCACCACCAGAAATAAAATTTGAGGAAATCCACTAGAAAGTAGATAATATTATATAGTTAATCCATAAAGCGAGTGACCTCGCTCAGCGAGCTATAGAGAGGGCTATGCTCGGGGTTTCTCAGCGTGATGAACTTAGAAATGAGGATATCTTCAGTAGAACCAGACTGACCAACATAGCCCAACGGATGAAGTGGCAATGGGCCGGCCATACAGCTCGAAGAACCGACAACCGATGGGGGAAAAAGGTTCTCGAGTGACGACAGCCTCGTACCGGTAGGCGAAGTGTAGGGCGGCCCCCCATTAGATGGAATCACGACCTGGTAAGACATGCAGGTAGTCGATGGATGGAGGTGACTCACAACCGTGCTTTGTGGCATTCCTTGGCCTATGTTTAGCGGTGGACTTGTGAAGGGCTTTAATGATGATGATGATGAATCCATAAACGTACTTAACTGCTGATAAAGAGGTACCTCAGTCGTCCCAAGAGACCTAACATTCCCCCAAAGAAAAAATCCGAATCCAACACGACCGGATCTCTAGGAACTAATTACAGTTCGTACAGGACAGAGATGTTATCAGAACCTTTGGTAACAATGAAGAATATAGAATCGCGAGTATATTTTATGTTGTCAGTACTTCTATTCCATAACAATAGAGACGCTAGATATAAATTAATGTAACAATAAGCGGTGACACGGACGCTAAACCGGTAAATTATTATAGCAAAGACAATAAATATTGCTTTGTTATGTTTAGTTGTAACCAGTGATTAACGGTTATTTAACTCAATCGTTTCCTCTCGAACGTAATAAAACTGTTCTGTTGTAAAAATTTAATTTATGAATACGCGCATTTTGCTGAAGTTGGCAGCTTCCCATCTCACCTCAAGACAGGGGTGCCTCGTTTAGAGCCGGACAGCTGATCTGTGTAAATACGAGTCTGCGAAATGGTGCAATATATTGTACCAGCTGGAATTTAGCATATCGTTGGATTTCATTAGTTTTAAAATTGTGGGTACTCGTGTTACTCTGACAATGCGTCGGAGGCTACTTCATATCTTAATATTATCGCTTTCAAGAGTCTATGTCTTTGAACGGGTGACTATAAATAATCCTAATAAACCCCTGTGCATGTGAATCTGCTTGTGCTACTGTTACACATCCTGCGCATATATAGCTTCCGATGACAGTGGAAAGATGTCGCTGTGATTGAAATAGGCCAGAGAAAAATCGCCTTCATCATTTACTAGTACCTATTCAACTCTGAACAGAGGCTTTCCCCCTTATATTTCTTCATAGGGGTGATATTTGCACTAGTTGCCACACTTTTTATAATTTTCGGTTGTTATCAAGGAAGATGCTGCTGCCGATATTCTTCACCCTGTTTCCCTCTGTCATCTCTTACGATACAAATAAGATCATGGAGTGTAGTGGATATTTTACGTCGCCACATACGTGGTAGAGCCATGCTGTAGCTATAATACTGGTATAATTGTAGCACGAATGCGTCGGCTCGACCGGCGAAGGACCACGCTCTCACAGAATACCAGCGTAAAATAGCAGCTTAACGCTGCTGTGTTTCGTATGGTGAGTGTAGAGAACCGGAGACCCTTTTTACTAGATATTAGGACTTCCATCTCAGTCCTCAGGGGTGACAACGCATCTGCATTTTGATTCTTAATCGAGGATAGACGTAGATGTTTATGGGATACAGCATCTACTTTCCATCAGGTGGACTATGTGCTCGTTTGTCACTTATCCTATAAAAATATCTGAATATTCTTCTTCTATACAGCATCCCAAAATAAATATTGTCCAAATCAACTTTAGGTTCTGAATGGAACTATTTACGTCCGTAACTTATTTATCGCTCTATTTCTGTTTCTGTTCCGGCTTAGCGACAATCGTTCAAGAGCGCTGACCCGCTGGTATACAAACATTCTTGCTGAAAATATCTCTTTACTACGACTATAAGAAGTTCTAAAGAAATTTCATTGATACTGGATTCGTAGTTTAGTTGTTCTTTTAAGAAATAATTGGGGAAAATATTGATTCAAATTTAGAATGATAATTCATACATTGAAATTGAGTGATGTATCACTTTCAAATACATTTTTGGTACGATACGCGCGCCACCTCCTGTAAGTTAATTGTACTATGCCTATAACTTTGCAAGCAATAAGTTGACAAAGTTTTACCGCAGTCTGATGAACAGTATGACAGCGTATAGAATACGAACGAAGAAACATTATTTTTTATATATTTATGGTGACAAACGAGCACACAATCCACCTGATGGTAAGTGGATGCTGTGGCTCATTGACATCTTTAGTAATTAAGAATCAAAACGCAGATGCGTTATCACCCGTGTGGACTAAGATGGAATGCCCCTTTTCCCGTAAGAAGGGTCTCCGGTTCTCAACACTCACCATATGAAACATAGCAGCGTTGAGCTGCTATTTTACGCTGGTATTCTGTGAGAGCGTGGTCCAACCCCGGTCGAGCCGACCCATTCGTGCTACAACTATACTAATATAGCTGCAGCATGGCTCTACTACGTATAAATACCCTAGAGTTGGAATAGTGGGTAATGAGGATTTTAGTGTACCTATAGTATAATCTAGTTGTTTCTTTGAACTGGCGATATTGTGAAGACGAGTCAAAAGGGTAAAATAATATTTTTTTTTTATTAAAAAGTAGAACTGTTAACAGTTAGAATAGAAATTGCGAGGATTAAACTCCGTTTTTGTAGTAATTACGACACTTCTACTTGAAATAAAAATAAAGTATTTTTGAAAGATTTACCTACAGTGAGAGAAAGTTAGTCTGGCCCACCAGGAAGGGTAAATGAAATAGGTAAAATCACGGTTAATAGCAGCGGCGGTCAACTTCAACTTGGCTTCAATAATATCTCGATTACTAAAATCAAAAAAAAATCCAATAGCTTGTGTAGTCGCGACTATACTAGTAACATTTCGATATACCATATCTTAGAAAGCTGGCTGCGAATGGCTATACGTACTTACTTAATCTTTGGGCAAGGAAAGAGCCAGTGAACCCAAACAAAACATTGTGTTCACTGGAACCAGCACTTTGTTCACGACAAGTCACGATACAGTTACAGTTCCTTCAGTCACCGCAGTTAGACCCCTCAGACCAATAGTCTGCAGCAAATGGCATTAATATGTAGTCCTCTCTCTCTTAAACTCATGTTGGCACCAATTATTCAGTTCAGCCGTCTCTGATACCGTGCCGGCTCTAATCGAAATACCCGTGGGAGATTTTTCAATATAAAACTGACAACATAGAGGTCAATGTGTTTTAATAGTATTTCATGACTCGTTTACGTAACCTATCGAATAAAATCGAAACATTTTTTTAAATATCTTTTACTTTTTATTCTTTTGGTTCGCTGGTTCGGGACAGTACGTAAGGCACATTGACGTCATCAGTATCACAACACAGCCGCTGAAGCCTCTGCTATTGTCAAACACCAAACACATATTTAATTACCAACGTGTGCAGTGCGGCACGCGTGATTAGCTTCCTAAAATGATGTATGTATCTATATAAATTAATCAGTATTCATCTCTATAGTAGAGAGTTTATGTGATAAATTTCTATAAATTTATGTTTGTAGATAAGACGTTCTTATAAGTGAAACATGGAGTGAATTTTGGCCGATCCTGTCGAATAGCGCATGCGCAAAAATTGCTTTCCGAGCGCGTATTCGGTCAAAGTAAGGCGGCGCGCCGGCTAGCGCGCTCGCCTGCCGTTCGGCTTGAGCTAATAGCGTCCCTTGCAATAACATCATCAATAAAATGATGCCTAACCAACAGTTAAATAAAACTGTGCGACATCTCAACTTGTCAATTTATTTGTGTCTTTTATTTTTTGTGTGAAAGTCGCGCCGAGTAACCGCTGTGTCTTCCTTTGTACGTTAAGCGATTGATTGTTCGAAGTACACTGATTGTTTTGATGAGGTAAGTGATAAGTTTAAGGCCGGAGATCGTCCTTGTGAAATGCCAAGTTGAACACACACGGTTCGCGGGTCTCATGTGGCAAATTACTTCGCGTGACAACATTCATAATAATTGTGGGCAAATCGTTGCATTGTTTTGACGACCTCACATTTTATTGCACTTGTACAGGTGCGGCTTTTAATTGTGTAATTGATAAGTATGCAACTAAACTTAAAGTATTACAAAATATAAATAAGCTCTACTCTTATAAAAAAATCTCATCATCATCATCATTCATCATTACAGCCCTTCACAAGTCCACTGCTGAACATAGGCCTCCCCCAAGGAACGCCACAAAGCACAGTCCCGAGCCACCTGCATCCAGGTCGTCACTTCGTCTAGTGGGGGACGCCCCACACTTCTCCTGCCAGTACGAGGTTGCCACTCGAGTAGAGTAGAATAGATAGACTCAGCCTCGGTGGCAGCGAGCGGAAGTTTAAATTAAAAAAATATTTTTTATATTATAAAAAATATTTTAAGACTTTCGCAACATACATACATTTTCTTTTCCACAATAGGTAAGTTATCAGCCAGTAGCAGGCCTCTATATGAGCCTCTCTCATTGTAGGAAGGGTTGATGTTATTGCAATGAAGCCAGACGGTTAAGTTTTACTAGGTTGTAGTGGACGCTGCTCCTTGTCATCGGTTTGCGTATTTTTTAATTTTTCGTACATATTAGATGGCACAACGTCATCTATTTCAGTCCTGTCTGGCCTTAAAGCCTAATAAGTAAAATAATTCATGATCTTAATTAAAACTTAACGAGATTGTTAGATATGTCATCATTTTATGAGGAAATAAACGAAAATTTTTTGTATTTTTTATAAGATTCACAGATTTTTACGTAATTGAATAATCTTATAGTATAAAGCAAATTAACTCTTTTAAAGTTTTATATACAATGTATTTTTTTTTTAATAACAAGGTAATAAATACAAGAAAATTGAGACAGATTTAGAGACGTCGCTTTTAAATAATAATGCTGTTTAGTAATGAAATAAAAATATACATATTAAGTATATTTTTGGCAAAGATTTTTTGGCCTCAAAACATCCAAAAAGTATCTAAGATTTACTTTTAAGACGTACGTGGTAGAGTCACTGTTGTGCATTATTTTAGTATGAACATAACTACATTCCGTGTTTCATACGATGAGGGTAGAAACCCACGGGTCTTCTTTTTCTGATAATAAAACATTACATGACCTGACCTAATTAGTCTACAGGGATGACCATGAATATCAGTGGCCTTTTTAAAACTACGGGGCTGCTTTGGTAAGTATCATACTCTTAACTTCTTTTTTGTTATAGGATAGATGACAAACGAGCACACAGTCCACATTATGGTAAATGGTTTCTGTGACCCATAGACATCTATATCTATTCTCAATAAAGAATCAAAATGCAGATGCATTGTCATCCGTTAGGACTAAGATGGAATGCCTCTTTTCCAGTAAAAAGGATCTCCGGTTCTCTACACTCACCGTTAGCTGCTATTTTACGATCATATCCTGTGAGAGTGTGGTGCTTCCACGAACGAGCCAACCCATTCGTGCTACAATTATACTACTAAATATCTGCAGCATGGCTCTACCACGTATAAAAGCTAGCTATTCCGGTATCTTTAAACTAATGCTTAAATGACCTGCGTAACTAAAAATAGTCGTGGGTTTAAATTGTCCATTCGATTACTATCGTTAATTGCTCAAGTATTTTGATCATATAAAATCAATTAATGTTGAAGATTTTAATGAGTGGTAGAGCAACACTGAAGAGGACTATGGTACACTAATGGTAAGTAAGTTTTCCTACGTGGTAGAGCCAAGCTGCAGGTAATAACGGCTCCAGAAGTATACTTATATCGGTTTGATTAGTCGTGACCACGTTCGCACTAGATATATTTGTAAAAAATATATTAATGCTGCAGTTTCTTAAGCTGTTTTACTGATATCGCGGCATTCCTTCATCATACTCCGGGGCGACAATATATCTGCAATTTGATTCTTAATCAAGAATAGTTCTAGGTGTCTATGGATTACGGCACCCACTTACCAATATAGCTAAAATGTGTGCTCGTTTTTCTTCTTGGAAATATACCGTAACATCCTATTAAAGACCATCGCTGAACATAGGCACCATAAATGCCTCATAGGGGCGATCCCTGCCATAATTGCCACGCTTGGCAAGCGCGAAGACGCTGCTGCCCATCCCCTGATTTGTTCCCTTTATTGCCTTTTACGACACTCACGGGATAATACGAGATAGTGGATATTCTTACACCGCCATTACATTACACGGTAAATCATTTGAATTTAAAGGTAAATAATAGGCTATTTAGGTATCAGAATATAAAGGTAAAATAAAGGTTATCGGAAATGTACTTGACATTTTCCATAACCTTTATTTTACCTTTGCCTGCTTTTACTGTATACAACAAAAAAAAACAAGAATCGCAGAAAAGTAAACACTAGGGCACAAATAGAGAGCGAAGCAAAGCGAACCGCATCGAAATTAAAAACCTCTACTTGGATACGAGCCACTAAGTAAAAGGAATATTTAAGCATTTGTTTGTGGCCTCATCAATAATTCCTTTGCCTAAAATGCTTTGCATTTATTAACCGAAATTACTGCTTTGAAAGATAAGAGTAGATTGTACACGTCACCATGATTGACGTGTCTTTGTTGATTAAAGCTAACTTTACGCGATTTTATAGCACTTTTTTTTTATAAAACTGAAGTAACAAACAAAACACACTACCTCGGTGGCACTACACCGGAGGCGTGAAGCAGAAGTGCGGTGGTCTTATTCTTCAAGAAAGGTGACAACGCTCTCTTGAAGAACTACAGACCGATTTCCCTTCTGAGCCGCGTCTACGTGCTGTTTTCGAGAATTACCCTTCGGCAAATTGTACAGAAGTCCGAGGAGTACAATTTGCCACTATGTCTGGCGTATGTGGACTATAAGAAAGCCTTTGATTCCGTCGAAATTCCGGCGGTGCTGCAGTCCCTTCAGCGATGCCAAGTTGACTGTCGGTATATCGAAGTGCTGAAGTGCTTGTACAGTAGGGCTACGATGGCTATCCGAGTACAGAATCAGAGTACGAAACCTATCCAATTGCAGAGAGGTGTAAGACAGGGTGACGCTATATCCCCGAAACTCTTCACCGCTGCATTGGAAGACGTTTTCAAGCTTCTGGACTGGAAAGGTATTAACATCAAAGGCGAATACATCACTCACCTTTGATTTGCCGACGATATAGTCCTTATGGCAGAATCGCTGGAGGACCTAAGAACCATGCTCAATGACCTCAATAGTGTTTCCCAACGGATAGGTCTTTAGATGAACATGGACAAAACAAAGATCATGTTTAATGTCCATGTCACACCTATGCCGGTAGTTGTTGGGAGCACTAAGCTCGAAGTTGTTGACGAGTATGTTTACCTGGGACAAATAGTCTAACTAGGTAAGTTCAACTTCGACCGAGAGGTCAATCGACATATTCAACTCGGTTGGGCAGCGATCGGGAAATTACGGCACATCTTCTCGTCAGGTATACGTCAAAACTTGAAAACAAGACTGTACAACCAGTGCGTGTTGCCAGTGATGATCTATGGTACAGAGACGTGGTTCTTCTCTGCTGGCCGGATGAGGAAGCTCAAGGTCGCTCCGCAAGCTATGGAGAGGGCTATGCTCGGAGTTTCTCTGCGTGATAAACTTAGAAATGAGAATATCCGCAGTAGAACTAGAGTGACCGACATAGCCCAACGGATTAGTAAGCTAAAGTGGCAATGGGCCAGTTATATAGCTCGAAGAACCGACAGCCGATGGGGAAAAATGGTTCTCGAGTGGCGGCATCGTACCGGCGGACGAAGTGTAGGGCGTCCCTCCACTAGATGGAGTGACGATCTGGTAAGATTAGCAGGAAGTCGATGGATGCAGGTGGCTCAGGACCGTGCTTTGTGGCATTACTTAGGGGAGGCCTATGTTCAGCAGTGGACTTGTGAAGGGCTGTAATAATAATGATTAACAAACAAAACAGTTCATCTGAACGTAAGTGGCTACTGTAGCCCATGGGCACATATAACAAACTTCAATTACGCGAAAAAATCCGTCAATTAGTTTTATACTCTCCTGCGCAGATTGCTAGTTTCCGTTGAGCTGTCGTGACTGAATTTGGTGTGGAGTAGGACAGTGTTTACATAAATATAGAAAATCATTATTTGTTTATTTGTGCTTATTGTGAATATATTAATTATTTAAAAAAATAATAGTCTCTCATCATTTTCATCGTATTCGTTTATGAGTAATGATAAACCGCGTAAAATAGCAGCATATTGCCGCTATGTTTTGGAAATCTTGAGACCTTATTTATTGCTAATAAATATGAACTCATGAACTGATGGTGCATGTTCGCTATCTACACATACAAATAAATAAAACTGAATATATTATTATTAATTATTGGGGGCAATTTTAGTATTTTTAGTAATAACCTATGATTACAGTTGAATTGTCTGTTATTTATCTTATTTATTGTATCCTTATAATTATATTTTCATTTTGTTTTTAACATTTATTGATATTTGAATTAGGTGTATAAAAGCCTGAAATAAATGACTATTATTTTTGGGATATCTATAACGTTTTCTCATTTGGTTGGACAGTTTAAATATATAATTGTAAATAAAAATGGTAAACATACATAAATACCAATAAAATAAAATAAATACATAAAAAATACATAAATATATAAAAACCCACCCAACTATTATTATTATTATTAAATGCCTCCTTTTAAGCTGAGGGGGTAATTGGAACGATATTAAGACACGAATAATCATTCTATTGAATTATTTCTATGCCTGTCTGACTGTCCGGCCTAATCACCGTTTGGCCCGGTTGTGATGAAACTCACAGATAGAGAGGTATACCAGAAGTGATCTAGGCTATATTTTATCCGA